TCTTCTTCTTCTTCTTCTTCTTCTTCTTCTTCTTCTTCTTCTTCTTCTTCTTCTTTTTGTGGTGGGGGTGGTTTGAGACAGGGTTTCTCTATGTAGCTTTGGAGCCTGTCCTGGAGCTCACTCTGTAGATCAGGCTGGCCTCAAACTCACAGAGATCTGCCTGCTGGGATTAAAGGCATGCACCACCACCACCCAGCCTACATTTCTTATGACACTGAAGATTATGGAGTTAGCTATTGATTAATCTTCCTGGATGTGACTCTTTTCACCTTCACCTATTGTAAACTCTTAGCAAGCCTTGCTGTGTATCTCCCTAGAATAGGCAGGAAATAGACACAAACCCCCTAACATTCAACACTAATCTCTACACTTGTGCTCAACCACTCAGAACGACTAGCGACCGCTGTCAGTTCACCCAGGGGAAAGCCTCTGAGTGGAAAGACTCGGCGTTGTGTTCCAGAAGCGAAGCTGAAGTCAAAGGAACTGCTCTCTCTCTCTCCAATGATCACCGGACCGATGAAGGAGAGGGGCTCAGGAGACCGTGGCTCAGCCAAGGAGGGAACACAGAAGCCAAGGTCAGGAGACACAGGACCCATTGTGTTCTGGAGCCAGTCTAAGAGGGAAAAGGTTTGGATTCCAGAGCCTCTTGAGTTCAAGCTAGAGTGGAGCCAGCACAGACCTGGAACACAGAGACAGTAGCCCTGGCTTTGTGGGTTCACAGGGATAGTGAAGTCTCTTTAGTTATGCAAGACATCTTCCGTATGCCTAGCACATCGATAAGTGGTACTTTTGGTATCTAACCTCCATAAATGTTAGTTGCTTTACTAATAATAAAAGTGTGAGCCCAGCATAGAGGCACACACTGTCATCCTGGAACTTGGAAGGTAAATGCAGAAGGATTAGAAGTTCAAGATTACCCTCAACTCCATAGGGAGCTCGGGGCCAGCCTGGGCTACATGTGAACTTCTTCCTCTGTGTCTCTCCTGATACCTTCTTTCTCTTTATGCACATATGAATGTACATACCTTCTCCTATGTGTGTATAGTAAAATACATACAAAGGGGGTGACCAGCCGAATGTGGTGGTGCACATGAGTTTCCTAGTGAGTTTAAACTATAACTCGATCTGCCAAATGCTAGTTACTTTTTTTCTTCTTTGCATTGAGACAAAATCTCCTTCACAGCCCAGGCAGATCTCAACTCATCTTCCTCCTGCCTCAGCTTCCTGAGTGCTATGATTGCATACATGTGTCACCATGCTAACTGAGGAACAAGTTCTTAGACATAGCAAACACCCAAGGCCCTGCCACTAAACTGTATCTTCATACTGAACAAGCAAGACTTATACTCCATTCTATTTCTTAGTCCCTTGATCTTTCTCTTATGTAAACCAATTAAAGATCGGGTAACTCCGAGGCAGGGTGCTAGTCAGAGGAGCCTCGTAGAGAATAACAATAGGCATTTTCTACAATCTACCTCTTAAATTTTTTAGATTTTTTCATGTATAGGATTAAAGGTCTCAATACAATTTTTAAAATTATGTGTTTTATAATCTAAACCAGCATTTTAAATGTTCTGATGTTTGTTTTTTGTTTTGGTTTGTTTTGTTTTGAGACAGGATCTCTCTACATAGCCCTGACTGTCCTGGAACTCAGTATGTAGGCCAGGCTGGCCTATAACTCACAGGATTCTGTCTGCCTCTGCTTCCTGAGTGCTGGGATTAGTCATGTGCCACCATGTTTTGCCCTAGAACATTTTAATTCTCAACAGCTGAGTGATAGTTCAATAATAAATATTGTAGACTAGTTATTGTGAAATCCTTCTGAGAACACCTTCAGAGGATGGCAGAGGTACTTCGAAATCAGATTTTCTCCAAAGGGACAGATGACATGTTTTCCTTTCTTAAAATCAGTGTCTAATACATCCCAGGATGAGTTTTGAACACCTGATCCTTCTGCCCCACCTCCCAAGTGCCAGGAGTCCTGGAATTACAGGTGTGCACCACCATACCCTTTTGGTGCTGAAATGGAACCTAGGAATTCATGAATGCTATGCAAGTACTCTACCAACTGAGCCACATTGCCAGCCCAAGGACATGCATTATTATTGGAAGGAACTAGAACTTAGGTCTTGCGTGCTCATGACAACTCCCCAGCACCATTCTCTGTCTCCGCCCCACTTCCCTTGTATCTAGAAACAGGGTGAAGAGAAACTCCAGAGGGTGGGGTCTCAAGTTAACAAACTGAGGGTGATGCTGGGTGGGGGAGATCAGTGGAGATGATTTGGAGGGAACTAGATTGGAAGCCAGGCAAGGTGTCTCTAGCGTGATAAGCAGTCAAGAGCGGGAATTTGGGACAGAAATAACCACACTGTTATCTTGCAAGCCTGACTTAGGGTCCCTCTGTCTATAGAAAAGTTTAGCTTTATTACCAGAATGTGAGAGTTTTGCATTCTACCTATAAGGCCAGCTCTTTTAAACAAAAGCTGCCTTATTTTAGAGATATGTACATATGTACACAAACCCTCCCTCTGGGCTCAAACTCTTGGCAGAATGGGCAAATACCAGTCTTGAGTCACCTGTTTGTCCCCATAACATGATCTTGAAGGAGGCTTGACCCCTGTCATCTCCATAAGTGTCTCACTGCAGTGTGTGGGGACAGCTTCCTGGGGTGAGGGACAGTGACTGCTGTGACTTACTTAAAACGGCACCATAGTCATTCTAGAATTCTTGCCATTGCCACTCACCCAATGCCCAGTGCTAGGAGGCTGGGGGAGGAGGAGTGTGGAAAGTGCAAGGTCATCCTGTACTAAGTGAGGCCTGTTTAAAATCAAAAAGGAAAAGCCCTGACATTATGTAGTTTTCAGGTGTTTTTTGTTGTTGTTGTAGTTTATTTGTTTTTTTGTTTATGTTCGGTTTTTCGAGACAGGATTTCTTTCTGTACCCCTGACTGTCCTGGAACTCTTTCTGTAGATCAGGATGGCCTCTAACTCACAGAGATCCACCTGCCTCTACTTCCCAAGTGCTGGAGTTAAAGACATGTGCCACCACCACCCAGCAATAGTCTACAGTTTTAAAAAGAAAGCAAGTAATATCAGTGTATCCGATGACAATAATAGCCAGGAATGCAGGGATAAGAATAAAGGGACAGGGGCCCTGTGTCAATGAATGATTCTTTGTGGTGAACGCCTGCATGTAAAAATGTATGGAGAAGCCGGACAGTGGTGGCGCATGCCTTTAATCCCAGCACTCGGGAGGCAGAGGCAGGCTGATCTCTGTGAGTTCGAGGCCAGCCTGGTCTACAAGAGCTAGTTCCAGGGCAGTCTCCAAAACTACAGAGAAACCCTGTCTCAAAACAAAAACAAAAAACAAAAACAAAAACAAAAACAAAAACAAAAAAAAAGTGTGTATGTGTGTATATATATATATATATACATATATATAAAAGGGATATATATATATAAAAGGGTTTACTGTGGGACTCCCTGTGTCACACTGCAGCTTCCACGCAGCTTCCATGACGAGAGTTTCCCTTTCTTCCCTTTCCCCCTTTTTTTTCTCTTAAATTTTATTTTTGTTTTATTCTGGGAGAGAGGGAGATGGGTGGGATTGGGAGGCATGATGTGCAAGACAAAGAACAAATAAAAAGTTAAAACAAAAGGGAGCTGGGCGGTGGCGGCAATGTCTTTCATCCCAGCACTAGGGGAGGCAGAGGTAGGCAGATTTGTAAGTTCAAGGCCAACCTGGTCTACAGAGCAAGTTCTAGGACAGGCTCCAAAGCTACACAGAGAAATCCTGTTTCAATAAATAAGAATAAAGGGACGGTCAGTGGCGGCTGCTGGTGGCTGCTGTGGGAGAGTGAAGCTTGACTTGGGGAGGAAGGAGAGGACCCAGGACGCTGACAGCTCAGAGATCTCCCAGGCAGAGGGCCTAAGGAGGGGGGGGCGATAAGGAGAAGGCTCAGGCCTGTGGGGTTGGACGGCCATGGATGAGTTGAGCAGAGGACTAACACAGTCTGACTCCTGACTTTAAAAGGTGGTTCCGGCTTCTGTGTGGGCTGGGAAGGAGGTGAACCAGGGAGAGCAGTCAGAAGGGCATCTCCATGGTCCAAGTGACAAATGACGTGGCTTGGACTTCAAGAGTGATGGTGAAGCAGTGGTCAGAAAATAGCACGGTGGCCGCGTTAACTTACAAATGGGGTGTGGGTTGAAGAAGCCAGAGACAAGGGTTTGGGTCTGAAGGGCTGGGGGATGGAGTCGTCCTGACCAGGAGGAGAAGATAAGTGGTGTGATACGAATGTGCTGCCCCAGAGCAGGAGCACAGCCAGGGGAACAGTCAAGGGACGGAGAACCGGAAGAGCAGGGTGGACTGGAAGCCAGATGGAAGGTTGTTCAGCGGGGAAGACCTACATCTCCCTTAAACTTCACATCAGACTTTGCTAGTGTGAGGAAAAGGAGGGCCTGGAGACTGCCCGAACAGTTTCTTTCCTAACAATTCAACCCAGCTAATTACAGGCTATGCATCCTGGGAGGTTAAACATAGATTTGGCTGTGGACATACAGGTTAGACCAGATACATAATTTGCTGAGGCCCCAGGGCAAAATGGAAACCCAGGTCTCTTCCTTTGAACATCATTAAGATTTTTCAAGATGACAGAAACAAACAATTAACCTAGCACAGGGCCTCATTTAGCATTTTGCTGGGTCCTTGCAGTATGCTTACAACACAGCTCTTACTGACTGTCCTCCCTTCTCAAACCAAGAAACTCAGAGCTAGGCTAACAGTTTGAGCTTGGAAACTGGGCCTTCAGCCTCCAAACCCGGCCCTTCATGAACTATATGAAGCTGGGTATCAAGAGAAGGGACGGTTCTCCTGTCTGCCCACCTGGAGCAGGTCTAGCTAAGGAGAGAGGTCTTGGCTGAGTCTTGCTGAAGCCAAGAGGGACTGGAAGTGTGGAAGAGAAGGAGGCATACAGCTGAGAACCTCTGCTGGAGGTCTGTATGGAGGCGGTTCAGTCCTGGAGCAGATGTAATTTAGTCAATAGCAAAGCTGATTAGGAAAAGATAGCATCATTTTAGGCTAGCCTGGGAGTCTTTGTTGTTCTTTTTTTAAAAATCATTTATTTGAGTGTGTGTGTGCGTGTGCGTGTGTGTGTGTGCATCCATATGCACCCTGGTTCAGACTCCTTACATCATATAGATTCCAGGGATTGCACCAAGGGTCAGGCTGGGCAGCAAGTGCCTTTACCCACTGGGCCATCTCACCAGCCCTAGATTTAAATTTTCGATCCTCCTACCCCAGCTTCCCAAGTTGCTAGAATTACAGGCCTGTATCGCTGACTGACAGAATTTTAGAACCCTAAAAGCATGAGAGCCTTGGTCTGCTTAGAGCCATCAACTCCTCAGCTAGCTGGTGCTGTGATGACCACGTGAGCAGGGTCTGAAGTGGCCCAAAAGAGCAAAGGGCAAGGGCTGAACCATTTCCTTCACAGAGTAATTGGGATATAGTCACGTCACTCTTTCCCCTCCTCAGTTTCAGTCCCTGTAAAACAGAAAAGCAAAGCAGATTCTCTGAGAATTAAGAAGCCCACAAGTGCTCT